ACAACTTACAAGAAGCAAAATTATTAGATTTTCATCTTTCCACAATGATTTATTGTGCTAAAATTTTTAGCTTTTTTCACAAAGGTTTCTGGCATTTCGGAATACAAGATGATGTAAACTCACTCATATCTTCTTTCTTGAGTTTCTGACTTTGGGGATGTTAGCATCATTAATATGACCACGGAATGGGTCGATTTTAGCCCACTGGATGAAAAAAAAAAATTCGCATCGAAATTATCAGATGAGCGAATACTATACACTTTTAGTTCTTGGGATACAGCCACTGCTGCTGATGCTTTAAATCGCAAGATTTCATCACTGGAACAGCTAAAACCAAGGTCATGGAATTGTTCAATGAGGTATTTCTTGTCAAGCCTAACACCAGTTCTAATTTGCAGTAGTTTTGGACAATTTGTGGTGATACTCTTAATTACAATTAAAAGAACATGAACTTGAGGTTAGTGATGGGACGATACCAAAATTTTTGCGAATACCGATACTACATTTTAGGCTTATACTAATACCATCAAAATTAGCCGATACACGGATACCGATACTTTGGCACACCCTACCAAAGATAGAAAGATTTTCTACAAGTGAGAAGAGTGTTCTTCTTAGTGTTGCTGTCTAAACGGATTATGTATTTGTCTTTATTTGGCACCAAATCTCTACACTCTTGCATGAATTTTTTCACTGCCATTCCTGACCATGACATTATCATTCTCATCTTTAACAAGTCTGAGCACACTAGGCACAGCATCACGGAAAACTAAAAACACTAGAAAGACCTGGAGTAAGAGAAACACTAATTTGTCATCAAAATGCTTCTGCAGTCTTGAGAAGACTCTTTTTGATACAGCCTTTACCACCATTCATGCATCTAACCTGAGGTCCAACTCTCTAATTTATCTTTGCTGATGTCTTCTAAAAGATGATCGAATACAGCAGTCATTATATTTGATGTCACCTCCATCAGTTTGTTATATTCTCCCAGTCATGAATCTATTTCGACAACAGATAAGGTAATGGGGATCTGCCGCGGGCAAATAACTAGCAGTACATTGTAGTCTTACGTGAACTTGGGTGTCCTCTCAATTTTTCATTTATTACAGACTTCAAGAATCTTTGAAGTCTGTTATTTGCTACGTGGAATTATTCAGTGCGTCATGTTCGAGAGAGCATTATCTTCTTACATAATAACTATTGTAATTTAATGTCAAATTAATTAACCCTCAGAACGGCATTGTTTTTTAGAGGTGAAGATTTATGCTTTGATTTTCGTTTTACTCCTCGGGGTCTAGCGATGTATATGTGATTTTTCAATAAATATGAAGAAATACAGTTGTATTTCTCATTTTCATCCAATCGTTTCTGTAGTTCCTCAAGAAAGTCCCTCAGTATTGACCAGCAGCAACAATGGCTCTTATGTGAGATGCTCCAGATGTGATCAGTGTTTCTGTTGGATATGACACTGGAAAACACTCGGAAGTCATCATTTACTTATTTAAAAAAAAAAATTATATTACTCTGTTCAAGACAAACTAAATCAGAGAAGAACTTAAATATCTTCCTATACTTCATCTCTAAAAGGAGCAAAAATATAGGAATGTAAATACACTACTAAAAAAAAAAAAAAAAAAAAAAAAAAAAAATGTCCAGATTTGATGCAAAACATGTCTACCGGCTAGACTGATGATAGCGGAATTAAACTTGTAAACACGTTGCATCCTCATATACCGACTCATGACTGAATAACAATTGATCTTACTGATCTGAAAAACACAAAATCTAAAAATTATTTAATTAAAATACTCAAAATTATGCTTCATTATAAATTTACAGGAGATCGGTGATGGCACTGACAACGATGGTGGGTTTTTCAAATTCGCCCGAGTGACAGTAGCACCCATTCCGGTATCAGTCTAGATAGTGAAAGTCTCAAATTCTTCTAAAAACAATTATGAACCACAAAGTTCCAGGTTCAGCAGAAAATTGAGTTCGGCAACCAGATTACTGTAAATACGAGAGATTATTATATTCATACAAATGAGCTAAACCTGTAAGAGTCAAGCAGCGGCGGGGAAATGGAAAGCAAGCAGGTTCAACACAAAAGAAGGTTAGTGTAGTTTCAATTGTTTGGACCAAGAGTCCTTCATTAGCGTCAGGGCATCCCCTTCCTTCCTTCCTTGGAAGGTTGTTCCGAGGGAAGCACTAACTTGTTATTGCCACTCCTCCAGTAACTGAACATTGCCCTGAAAACAGTATATTTAGTGATTTTTTTGTATTTCAATACTTGGTTACTGCAATTTTCTGGTACTGCTGCTATTACGAACTGTGAGTACCTCACTACATCAACTCTAGCATATTTTAGTAAAATGTAACGAACATTAATTATAATATGCTTAAATTGTTTTAGACATTTGTGGTATTACTTATTCCTATAATCTGTCACATTCTACGATATAGTAGCGGAGTGCATGTTCATCCTGCTCTCCACACACACTTTAAATTACGATTCCTGTTCCCTCACAGTTATTACCACACGTACAGGTAACCTAAACAAGTTGTTAGTATTATTATGTTCCTATTCCTAAAAATGAATTACATATCACATTCCCCGCGATGTTAACAAGAAGTGATCGGCTATCACCTTCATTCCTCAGTGCTTAATTTCCTCCATTTATTCCCACTTCAGTTCGAGTATTCAACTTGCGTCTCCGTCTCTCTCTCTCTCTCTCTCTCTCTCTCTCTCTCTCTCTCTCTCTCTCTCTCTCTCTCTCTCTCTCTCTCTCTCTCTCTCTCTCTCTCTCTCGTAACACATTAAGCATCATTAGTGAAGAGTGATGTTGCTGGTGGGACCAACAAACCTGTTTCAAATTACATATTAAGGAAAATTTGACGGAATCTCCTGGAAGACAGCTTGATTAGCCAAACTGTTGTGCAGAAAAACTTTATTTAATTAAAATCACATAAGCAGCATACTACAATATACTATATGTACCACCTTGGTCACTCAGTGAAGCAAGACAGCCTGAAGCATGATACCTGACCTGAAGTCTGAGTTGAGTTACCAGACCTGGCGCCAGAACCTCACATCAGTGGCAGCAGTGCCAAGTGCTCGTCTACCACTGATGACACACCTCTCCACCTAACCATTGCGTGGCCTGCTGCTGTCAAGGATCCACCTCATAAACTCTGACACAATACCCAAGATACCCTAAATCACTAATACTTAACTTGAGAGGTGATACAAGAAAGGGGAGGCTGATAAACACACACAAGAAGCAATTGTAAACTTTATTTAAGGTGCGCCTACTTTTCTGTAGTGTAACGAGCTAGTGATACTGTACTATATATTTTTGTTCCAATTTTCTTGTTCTTATTATTATTATTTTTACATAAAACAGTGTTTTGTTGGCTAGCTCGGGGGATAACAGTCCCCAACATATTAAATATCACTAATCTGGTTGAACCACTTAAGGGATCATTACAGAACTATGGTTCACGTTACGATATTCACTTGCTGTCGTCAGATTTATCTGGAGTCCACCTGGAGTATAGTTCGAGGTGTCAAAGCCCCAGCCGTCCGGTCCCAGACCAGGCATCCTGGTGGATGACCTGATGAATCAGGCTGCTGGCTCTAGACACACTAAGTCCAACGTAAGCACCACAGCCAGGCTGATCAGGCTCTGACTTGAGAAAATCGTCCAATTTCTTCTTGAAGACAGCCAGGGATCTGTTGGTAATCCACCTTATGTATGAAGGGAGGACGTTGATAAGTTTTGGTTCATTCACACTTATTGAGTTTTCCCTTAATGTACTAGCTGCACGCATGCTTTTCGTTGGGGCCATTGTACACCATATGCCAAGCACAACTCAATAAAGAATAACAAGCACAGCGTCACCAGGTATCAACAGTGTGCGTGATGTAGTGATGGTTAGGGAAGCAGCAGGTGTGGAAGTTGCACTCACCTCACACTTCATCCACACACCTGCTGAACACCTCCTCCACTTCACCACTGTACTTATCTACTAGTGCTTAACCATTATCACTTCCACTGGCAACCCTCAGAAATATTGCTACGTACAGATGTGTGCAGAAGCATAATGAATGCACTAAGATAGTCAGCCTTTTATTAAATATAAACAGACCTGTTACTGATAAAATTAACAGAGATGACTGATATTCATAGTTAATTGTTCAGGAAATAACGTGAGATTTTCCAGTTACACAACTATACAGCACAAGCTTAGCACAGGCCTCACAGCACAGTGTCCTTCACCTCATTGCTTCAGCATCACACTAAAGATCTGTCACCCTTCTCATTATTTACTTAAAGAGCACAGGGTTACCATTAATCATCGCTCTTTAGTCACTGCTTCCTAGTGCTGGTTATACGTGCACCACACTGGTCTCTTGCTGCTCGTTGCAGGAACTTCCCCTGAATTATATACCTCAAGCACTGTATCTCATTGGTCATCACTTCTTTGCAAGTCTGTACGTTTGCTTTCTCACTAACCTACCCTGCACCCTCTCGGTTAAACAATGCAATCTTCAGTTTGCTAATTTTGAGAAGATGGCCCATCATCAGCCTGTCTCATGCAGCCTTACTCTCACACACGTAATACATTGCTAATTCTTGTCACACAACCAGTGTTAGCCATAACTCATCCTTTGCTTGTTACTAAGTCACATATATAAAAGTATACACTGAGGTCTCTCAATGTGCAATATACAATAAGACTATACTGTGAACAGTATACACTCAGGTCTCTCACTGTACATATTCCACCTTGAGCAGTGTAAATTTTATTATGATTAACATTTTTCTCACTTTGTTGAATCTTTAAACATTGTGGAATGTAACCAAAAAAATGTGCCACATTAGCCAGGCTGTGCTGTTTGTGCAGACCTGTGGGCTGCTGCCAGTCAACAATGAAATCTGACCTCAGACCAGAACTCTCGAAAATGGTCACAGGTATATAACAGATAAGAAAAAATGATAAGTACAAGGTTAAAGTATACATACGTCTGCTGCAGTGTGTAGAGTGCAACACTGGTCTGTTAATAACTTAGTCTCCACACTTACCTTGCTCAGCAACTCCACTCGCTCCTGACACTCAGGCTTACCTGTAGGAACAAACAAAAAACAATGTTACTAACAAAATCAGGTGACGCATATAATATTATCAGAGGAAGTCAAAATACAATGTCTTGGCGACTAGGAGATGACAGGTAGGCCGTGCTTTTAGGTAGAGCTTGCCATCTTCGCTTAAAAGCAAAGGTCCTTTGCTCATATATGCAATGTGTAGCTCACTGTTGCAATAATCTTGCCTGAATATCACGAAATTAATGTGGGACTCATTTTTAAAAATACTAATTAAATTTAGGGTGACCTGAAACAGGCTGCATAGAAATAATATTTTGTTACAGTTATATGTTAAATTATATTTTCTTACAATTATATGCTAAATAATATTTTGTTACAATTATATGTAATAAGTTACAAACAGTAATACAATTATTGACTGATATGTACTATAACCACTTTGTATATTGCTGACATAAATAAACAAATAAAATGTTACGAGAATCAAGCAGCTTTCCTACCCCATGCTGTCTCCATCCCCTCACTCTTACTGTTCCATATCCTCTTTACCAGGTACATCCTACTTCCCTCTTCTTAGCTCTTCTGTTCATTCCCATTCCCAAAGTCCTCCTTACCGTTTCTCGTGCACCCTTTCCCACGCTACTAGCCCCCGTTTCCCTCCTGTCGGTAATGTTTTCTCTCCCCTCCCCCTCTTTGGCTCTCCTCTTCCTTCCCCGTCTCCACTCCTTTCATTCGATTCAAAATCATCCCCGTTATCCTCTTCCCTTTTCCTTGCTACTATTCCTCTCCTTGCTTCTGCTTCCTCATTCTTAGCGTGTCTTCCTGCTCGTTCACTGAAGCGACTCTTCCACTGCGGGACGTAACACCCTGCAAGGTCACATATAAATCAGTGTAGCCTCCAGCACTCAGACCGTCTTGAACTATGTATGACGTCAATACTACTAGTTAAACCTCGCAATCACGCTTGTACATCACTTGCTGAGTCTCGCTGTAATATGAAGCTCACTGTGGGTTTAAACTGTGTTGCTACACAAATAACTCAGCCATCGCTATGCCACTTTTTAAGTTAAGAAAATATGGACAAAAAACAAAGTCTAAGAAATATACCTTTTACTCAGAGGACACAAATTAAATTCATCGATCAAATAATTCACACAATGCACAGCTGCACAAGTTTTTCATCTTACGTTGTTCTGATTCTGTAACATATTTGTGTTCACTTTACTTTTATACATCAGATCTCAACTTAAGCAAGAGAAATATTGTATTAACATTGTACACTATGTGGAGATAAAAGTAACTGCAGCAATAATAATTACTCTTTCATTCAAAACATATTCACTTAATACCGCAGCGGCGGCGATGACAACAAAGGCATTTACGGCTAGAGAAGTGGTAAGAGAAGCAGCAGGAAAAGCAGTGCAGGTAACTGCATACCGCAAATAATTCCCAGTTTAAGCTTTTATTATAATAGATACATCAGTAGTTTACTGCTATCACATTCTACTTTATACCATAGTTACACAGTGGGGATAATATTAAGCTATGTTTTCCTGTCATATTCAATTATACCGGATTGACTTCATGTGTTGAAATCTTACAGCTTGAGTTTAAGATAGTCAAGTATTCAAGTAAAAGTTCCGCAGCTACTTCAGCTTCAAGGATTTCATTCTAGCGGAGTTGGAGTTACTGTTACTTGGGAATTACCATCTCTCAGGATGGTCTATTCCACACACAGGAGAAGCTGAATTTTTATGACGATACATTTCAAGATATTTAATTAATATCATAAAGACCACAGGTACCTTTCATCTAACAGCTGAATACTTTCCCACTACACATATAACCCGTACTTAGGAAAGGGAAGGTAATGACGACGTTTCGGTCCGACTTCTACGAATGGCAAGTCACTTGTGAATGGTCATCATTATTATTTTCTCCTAAGTGTAGGCTGTTTTCTTCAAAAACACTCCCAGCATGTAATGGAGTTTTCTTATACTGGACATGACATTAGAGCAGGACTTTTACAACACATTTTTTTTCATGAATACGACCCTCAACAGTCGGCTAGCACACATACCTACCTTTTGTATTGGGGGGATGGACTACAGAGATGTACGGAAACTAGCCAAGCATCACAAAGCCGTTTGAATAATCAGAGAGATCTGGTTAGGCTGATGCTCTGGTCGGAAAGGTGGAATGAGTTTCAATACTGACATGCGTTTTGGATATAATAATCTTCAACATGAATGCAAAATGTCTGGCAACGAATTAACCGAAACAAGAGAAGAAAAAGACTTGGAGTAATCATTAGAATCTACCTCATAAGCACCAACAATGCCTATTTGAGAGCAACAAGACTCACAGAATGGTAGGATCAATAGGTAAAAATTTCGAGTGCAAATTACCAGAAACATTAGTGACTCTCACTAATGCACTTGACAGACCATTATGAACATACCATCCAGCTTCGGTTTCCAAATAACATAAAAACGAATATGAGACTTAAGCCGGTACAAAAAAGGGCAATTTAACTCGTACTATCAATCATTTTTTTTCTTAAGACACAGAGACTACCAGAGCTCATTCAGACCTGTAAGATACTGAATGGTTTTGATGCACTCGAACTAGTTGAAGTACAAAATGAGTTAACTTGAAACAATAGAGTGAAACTTCAAGGTAAGAGATGCCACATGAATGTGTGTAAAGATTTTTTTGCCCTATTATATATGACAATTACACAGTAGGAACAAAAGCTTGCTACTGTTTCTCTGTCATATTCCATTACTCAGGATGAGGCTCATACAAGGTGTTGAAATCCGTCAGCATGATCTAGAAGACTTCGGTGGGGCAGTGAGGATACCTTCAAGTATTCCAGCAAGGGTTCATCAACTACGTGAGCTTCAAAGGTTTCGTACTGCTGGTCGTGGTTGTGAGGAAATGGTGGTAGTTGGGATGGGGGTGGAGATGGGGGAGGAGGCGGGGAGTTCAGGTCATGGGAGCAGTGGTGGTGTCAGCGACAGCGGCTTGTAGTAGTGTCAGTGGCAATAATGTTAGTAACGGCGGTGGGTGGCGATGATTGTGGTTGTGTTAATGTTGGTGGTAGGGGTAGAGGGTGGGGATGGTGGTAATGCTAGTGGTGGAGGTGGGTGGTGGTGGCTGTGGTATATTAGTGGTGGAGGTGGATGGTGGTTGTGGTAATGTTAGATGGAGGTGGGTGGTGGTGGTGGTTGTGGCAATGTTAGTGGTGGAGGGGGGTGATGGTGGTTGTGGTAAAGTTAGTGGTGGCTGCGGTAATGTTAGGTGGGTGGTGGAGAGCTCACAGTTTACCCTGGAAGGCTGGTGTGTTTACCTGCAGCCAAGTCTGCTATTTACCCTAACTGCCACCACTAACTCACCTCATCTCTACACACTCCTCCTCCTCTCACTACCTGCCTTAACACCCACTGTTTCATTTGATACACAAATTTCACCTAACTCACTTCATTTGCTATATGTCCCTGGAAGTACCTCTGCGCCTAACGTCCACAATTTAAAGTCTCAAATTGAAGCTTCACCTAGCCAATGAAATCACATTATTAATATTTAAATAAATCAATGAAGAGTCAGGATTTCCAACACAAAGGTAATATGTAACAATGTATATGAATTTCTTTTAAAACTAATTCTTCTTTCTGGCGTTTAACAACTTCTTCATAATTTTTAATGGGCTATGTCACATAATAATTAACTGATGTTGCTGTGGATCAACGTTGGTTCAGTTTTTGCACTGGATGCTATGATCACTACTTCCTCACTGCTTTACCAGTGTTTGTCTGTTTTCTGATGTAGGGTGCACACTGTACATGGTCACAAGTACTAAAAGTATATTCTGAATAGATTACTGAATGCCAGATAATGTAGAATCTGATAGATGGTTTCATGAAAGGAAGCACTGCACTTTGTATCACGACCTTCGACAAAGCCCAGCTTATGGCTATACTCGATGAATTACATAGTATGTACTATAAAAGTTAATAAAGTAAAAACAAAATGAAGATGCAAGTGTTGCTTCAGGAAAAATATTCCAAGAATGAAAATGTGCACGTCCCAAGGATACGTCCTCAAGCACTATGTTGTATAATGTTGATAAACACAGTTGACAAATCGAATATTCTACTGGTGTGTTCTATGCAGACTACGTTGGTGGTATATATTGATTAAATCCCAATTGTATGACAAAATAAGTCAAGCGCTAATGTAGAGTGGGATTCTCAATATTATAATAAGAGCAGTAGTAAAAGGAATAAGGTGGGATTTAAAGTAGCGAGGCAAATCATTGACTGACAACTTTGCCATGATTACATAGGCGTGTATACAGCAGAGAAAAACAAGGAAACGATGAGCAGATGACACAATATCATGGTACGGTAGTGAGGCATAAATATCATTATTACGTATGTACACTAGTGATCCTTAATCTTTCACCATAAGTGACCCGCGGTAGATGATCAAATGTGTACACTACGTACATCACCAGTGCTATGAATCAATCGATAAAGTTCACTGTGCAATATATGTACTACAGAGCATGAAAAAGTAACACATATATAGCATAAAATCTCAATTAAAATACGGCATTATGCATTCCTAAGCCGCTCATAGCTAGATAAATAAACTTTTCGTGGGCTCCTGGATCTTCATACAACTTATTCCAGCCTCAATTATCTCATAATTATTGTAAAAATTTTAACCATATGTACAGTATTAACGAACAGCTTGGACAAGAAAAATATCCTTACAGCCTGCAATGCTGATATACTACGTGTGATATGCAGGGAATACATAATGAGTATTCAAGATTATGCTGTTTCTGTACATCTGACTCTTATTTACAAGAAACCTTAAATCACAATCTAGGTATGAGAATAATTCGAAGCTACATTCGAAAGAAAAAAATGGTCACGTACTAATTACTTTTGACATTAAATTTTAAGACAAACAATATTCTAAATAAGGTGATTAAAACTGTACTTGATTA